TTATCAAGGTGACATGGATGCATTCTGTGTTCTACTTTTGTAATTGGCTTTTGTCCTCCCCTTTGCTTTTTGTTTATTTCACTAAAATTCATTTTGGCTGTTACTATAACAAATTGTACTGGTACACTTATATGGGACGCTCGACGAATGTCTGCTCGACATCTGTGTTAAGGTAGGCAGGAAAGTTAATGGGAATACAGTAGTAACGTGCTGACTCCGTATCTTGATTTATTTTTGAAGACTATGAAGTCTCGCTATAACTAGCCTGTTTCTTCAGTTGACATGTCGTCTAGGTAAGTAATGCCTTATAATGCAGTAGGAAATGCTTCTGTCAGCTGCCTGAAACTACTTCACAAGTATGACCGATTAACAATTCAGAACAGAAGTCAGTAACATAGCTTCAGGTAAGTGATAACAAGATATGCGAGGAGCTGCAAGCCATTTTCTATGAGTAGTAGTACAACGTCCGTGTGTGTTTCAGTGGTTGAAATTCTTAGTTGTCTGCTTCCAGAAGAGTGAAACTTCCAAGCAATCAAGTGGTAAGTGACCTAGTAGTGACGGTTGTGTAGTTGGGGAGAGTCACTGGTGATCGTTCCCATGTATTACGGAGATACGAAGACATGACTATGTACTTCTAGGTTAAGTAAGTTGTTAATATAAGTTTTGGATGCTAAGTTGATTCGCATATTGAGTGACCATATTTATATACATCTACCTATAGCATTTGTTAATTGATTTTTAAGCAAATATGTTCTCCTGGTTTTAATCGATTCGCCAGCTTGTCGTGAAAAAGAAGCAACTGAGACCGTTATAATACTTTCTGGTTCAGAGTCTGGCGAGACTGATTCCGACAGTTCAGGAGACGAAGAAGTTGCAAATGGAAGTGGAGGAGTTCGTCCTACTGAAAATTCTTCCCCGATCAATGAACCCGAACAAGGAACAACTACACCGTCTCATCCACCAACGGTTGAAAGTGATTCTCCTAATGAAAGCGTTGACCAGTCATCTGTTTCGGTAGTGTCGCCTTCAAAGCGTCCATGTTTGGAAGCATTTAGTGTTGGCGTTCAGCCATACAGGCCATATGAAAATCTTCCTGATGTGCACGGAGGCTATCAACGCGTGCTCAAATCTCTTAAGAAATCACGTGGATGTCTCAATGTCCAGAGCAATGGATCTGGCTTAGTAAATTCGTCAGATACTGGTCTTGCAACACCATCTGTTCAACGTGATCGTAACAATAGTAGTTATTCCTCTCGGTAAACATGTTGAGAGTAATAATTACGTTCTGATTTGTATTTTATAAATGACCTCAACTCTTGCAGAGAATATCCATGTAAATTGTTTTTCTCTCCATTTCACGAATGTGTATTTCTTGTAAGTAGCAGATCTCGTTTACTTTTTTTTCTTAACGACGAATAATTTGATAGCTTCTCATCAATACAAATAATGTCATGCAGTGTTAATTAAATGTTTATGAACTGTTTCACTGACTTCTTTTCTCGGTGTGTTCATGATTAGATTTTGTAAAGAAATATCATACATATGTCACATTAATGTTTTAGCTTTCAGGTGGAGACTGCTTTAAGACTACAAGTCTACATGCTGTACTTCTAATCATAAGTCTGACACTCGAATTTGTTGCTCATACTTGATTGTATGCATTCGGAATGCAATATTAGCTGTGTCACAAGGTGTTGAATGGCCATGAGGCTTCGTCTCTTTTTCATAGTAGTGATAAGATGTTATATTTTCGCTGAATAATTAGAAATAGACTTGTTCAATAAAACGTCTATTGCGTGAGGCACCGTTTTTCACTTACCTACCAGCAGATATCAAAGAACTATGTTTCCAGCCATGTATGTTGTTGTCCCATGTGAGGTGAAATCATATAATAGATGATACTGGAATTTGGTTTAGTTTAAGACGAAGGTTAGTTAGTTAATTATCTAGTAAATCCTTACTGAATGTCATCTGCAACATGTTTCACTAATTGCAGGATACTACTTCTCTGCCTTGATCAGCCGTGTTGACTGCGGTAGAATTAGTTTGAAAACAAGTTGTGGGCTGTTCCATGAACGTATGTCATGAATTTTATGAGGTGCTAAGGATCAATGGTTAGAGAGTTTTGGTTATATGCTTCAGGAGCGTTGTGAGTGGCTCAGATTCGTTTACTCTTGGGCATTCTGGGAGTTGTTGTCATCTTCATGACTCGTCTTCAGTAAATTGTTTTCCGTTGCCTCAGATTTGGTATTTGTGGTGTTTCTCTGTATCTATTCACTACAATATATTGTTTCGGTGTTTTGAAACTCGGAATGATGCATTTGTATGCCGACTTCGGCGACGCCAACCAATTACTGAGTGATTGGAGTGCTGAAAGATTATTTTCAAAATCTGATAATACTGCTTAGAGCTAAAACTCGTTCGAACAGATGTTGGGAAGAAATCACAATAATTAGCCAAGTGATTACCGTTAACGTAGACATGTACATTGGCACAAATTATTCTTAGATAGTGGGAAGGGGATGAGTTCAGGGTTTTATGGTATCCATAGTACTAGGATGCCTTGAATAGTTGATGGGTAAGATACTTTTCTAATATTGTATTTTGGATATCCTGATAGTACATACTACTCTTCTCCGCCTTCCTCCGCTCATTATATTTCTGCAGTAAGCGGTTTAGTAGAATCTCCTTAAAACGACGTGAGTAGAAATTGTGTTTAGTACCCCGAACCTTTTCTTATCAGTGTAATGGCTTGGAATTAACATTTTTTAAAAGTATGCAGGTCTATTTCACTGTAAAGTATTGATTTGCTGCCGTCCTTTCAACGGTTAGGGTGACAAACATTTCAAGTGTGGTTGCCATTTCTCTTATTAATTTGTAGTTACATCTAGAGTTACGTAGTCAATTCTGGTAATATTGCATAATGACCCAAGTTGCCACACCTTATGTCATTTTCGAGACCATAAGGTGAAAAACAAAGAAACTAAACCATCCATTCACCGATGTTGAAAATCTCTAGATAAGTGGAATATGAACATGGCTAAAATTTTCTATTACAGTTAAAATTAAAGACCGAGTTTGTATCTGTGTGATAGATTGATTGTTAGCAAACTGTGTTATGTGTTATACTTCTGTTGAGATTTTAATGGTAGCTTGTTTTAGTGGCTTCAGTAGTTAATAGAAATGCGATTAGAGGTTGGAATCTTGCCTTACTTTGAGGCTTATATAACCTAAAAGTAGCATAACGACCTGCTTAGACCTTGTTCTTAAACTGATCTTGGAATGTGTTTAATTACTAGGCTACATTCTACAAGTCTTTGATTACTGTTCATTTCGGAATTGTTCCTAGCGTTTGATATCAGTTTACAACATGATCCGTATATTTTAGGAATTTATTAATGTGTGTATGTCAGCTTTGAAATAAAGCACTAAAATCACATCTGTATGTTTTGTCGACATAACTACTGAGACAACATTAGGTTTGAGAGAGTAGAAATTTGTTTGGGCGTATGTCAAACATTTTCCACTGACAAGACGTTTGCACATGTATGTGCCCTAGACTGATGAGAACGTTTGTTTTTCGTGTTTTTTATTTGTTTATTGGAGTGACGACTCATGAGAAATAACTCTAAATATTGTTTACATAATAGTAGCATCTTTCAGTTGTTAAACATAGTCACTAAGGGTAAAAAATCTGCGAAGACTGCAAGTATCTAACCATTGTTGCCTGTGTATGCATGGCGTGTGCTCAGTCTTATCACCACGTGAACAATGTTAAAGTTAAGCTTATAAATTTTTGTAGTATAGATACTTAAGTCATGAGAGTTAAAAGCCTGTGTCGCTTGATATAGTTTGCTCACATTTGACGTATGTCCAAAGTGTGCAAAGTTAGTAGGGGTGAAAATATGTCGGGAGAAAGAAACGAAAGAAGATATTAAGAATACGACGCGGAGGCGTGGTCATTCACTGTGTGTTGAAGATATGTGGAGATTTCAGAGGTGGCATGGTTAGGGTTTACGTGACAAACGGAATTTATAATTGGAAACACTTATTGATGATATGTCTTGCAGTCGGTGACACTGAATTTCATTCATCCGAGTTGTTACGTTACATTTTTTTAACCTTATCTTTTCATCTTTTATGTCATATCCTTCCTAACCTTTGGCTGTGGTATTTTTCTTTTTTGTCTCTTCTTCTACCTTATCTTTAGATACGTGACAGCTTCGGCCACTGTGGGATATTGCCAGGTCCCATGTTGATAATGTCTAAATTTGTAGTATAATTGTCGAAACGTATTCAAGAGTATTCTACTAGTTATCATACATACATTGAGTAAGCGTTTGTAATTGCAGGTGTATGCAACAACACAGTGTGCAACCTGGTGATATGTATAAGTTTGTATGTTAGACCTTTGTTTCAATTTGTCTTGTAATGATTGGTAGACCATTATGTGAGGTGACAGACTGTGTGGGTTCAAAACATTCCATCCGTAGTCTATTTCCAGTAGTTTAGCGAGGTTCATTGTATAGTTAGTGGAGTTTTTGATTTCCTTTTACCTGGTCCCTGACGGAATCATATGATAATCTAGCTGACTAAATCGCCTTTCATTGCTAGCAACTCAATCTCCCTTGTTAACTACTTCTTCAGAATATTGTCTACAGCACTTGACTTATTCAGTGTAGTATAGTTTGGAATAATACAGAAGAATCACTGACAACACCGAATCAGTCATGTCTTATTGAGGGAGACGAATTCCGGATCAAGTGCGTGTCATGTGAAGCATTCAACTAATCGTTTTTAGTAGCTTTTGTCTGTAAGCTAGTCTGAATTAAGTAACTTTTTCCTTTACTGTCATGTTTAGTAGTGATATTTCCATTTCTCTCCAAAGCGTATAAAATAATTAAGACTCTTCATCTTTTTGTTAATACTGCTTTGTGACGATTTCTCTTCCATTCTAGATTCGATACAACCATCGATCCATCACTTAAAGTAAAGTTGTGATGCGACGATCTGATAATATTCAGTTAACTGAGAAGGAGATCAATGATTTCATTGGTCGTAATGATGATGAAGATGAGGATAGCGGCAGCGATTGGGATGATATAGGCGAGACTGACTTATCAAGTGTGCTATCTAATCCAACAGCTCTTCCAAAAGAGGACAAAACAGGAAAGTCTTCTCATGAAATTGTCTGTTCATCTGATCACAAAGCTGCTGCTAAATGCGTTAAAGGTAGGCTTCTCTGTGTATATACATGGGGCCTATAAGTGAAATGTTATCAGATAAAATTTTCCTCGTGTGAGAATAAAACCTTTCTTTATATTATATATTTTTACCGTAATTATGTGTCCAAAGTGTGTGTGAAATTAAGACAGAAGATTACTGGTGACTAGTTTAGGATAAACTGTTTTGACTAACTAATATTAATGAAGTAAACAACAATAATGTTTAGCGCAGAAAGATTCATTCACATAATGAGTTACTGCTAACAAACGGGTAGTTCACTGATATTTATGGTTCAGAGCATATTTCTACTTTATTTAATCTTCATTGCTGTGTATGGATGACCCGCTTATTCTCAGTGACATGGAAAATGAGGATTGTAAATAAATAGTTAACCTAAAGGAAGATTCATTTCTCTTGCTTATAACAATCACGTATATGAACACATTTTGTGGTGATCAGGTGCTATACTTGCTTCTTTAAAGCAATTAGTCGGTAGTTGTTTGGCAGGCGGTACTGATAAGAGTTTGCGAATATATTGCAGTATACTGTGTGTGATATCTTCTGGAAGAATACTGAATAGTGCAAGGGCGAAAGAAAGGATCTTTGTGAAACAATAGGGAAAACATCAAGGGAAGACAAAAGAAGTAGAACGGGGGGAGCACATGCAAATAGAGCTTTCAATGTACGGCATGGTATCTCTATTTTACCATATTTATGAGCAATAGTTGTGCTTATCAGTTAATATAACTGTACAACACTGTGTGATTTATCAAAATAAAATCTTATCTATTATGGAATTATACTCAACCACAGTGCCCAAGTTATACTTATATCAACAAATACTGCGGTGTTGTGGTGTTACAATAGTGACAATGAAAAAGCATAATTCTTGTCATACAATGGTTGAAAACACTTTTAGGTAGTGAATGAATTCACTGAAATACTTCGCCGATCTACTTTCTGCACTCTTTTCTTCATATCCTAATGGTAATATTTCATATCTCTTCAGCTCCATTTATTAAGATTGGTGCAACTGAAGGTGTGTTGTGATACGAGTAATATCCATAAGATGTTACTATCGTTATCTGAGACGAAATAATGGAAACCTATAGTTCACACGATTACATTATAACCCATGTGATGGAGATGCTTTGCAGGAGGTAGTCTCCCTTCTTCAATATGTCTGAGAAAGTAAATAGTGCTCAGTATTAAATTGTTAGAGATTTTGTTCGATTGAAACTGTTTTACCTTATGGATAATTACTTTTCACACAAAGTACAATAGAGCATTATGGTTATGTAGTCAAGTTCATCTGTCCTTACAAAGTCATGCGTTCAGTACGTCGCTTATTTTAATGGTACATGACAGATTGTACTTCATTATAAAAGAGGAAACTAAACGGTTGTTATGTGGACATCATTTTATTGACATATTTCCTTGTTACAAATGACTAGTTTAAATCTTTATTATAAAATCATATCAATGTAAAGATGGATTGACGCATTAGTTACATGTGATGTGACCAACGTCGACATTTCTTACAGACGACATATTTAACTTAAAATTGTCCAGCTATGCTATAAGCGGGGATTTCATGAATATTTGCGAACATCAACACTTGATTTGTAGAATTCCATTGATGCGAAATCCTGTCATACGTTTCTATTATTTAGACGGCGAATTGGCACACGTTACTTTCCACAGTAGGTTACTACTAAATGTGACTAAAATATAGAAACTATTTAGAGGTTGTTTAATCACAAATCCGTGAATAACTACTCGGATTGCTGTGTATTACTTTGTACCTATTACTCGTTGTTTTGACATTTCGGTACATATTAGGGCTTATAAACTGTTTGAAAAAGCGTATAAGACAGTTTCATTGTTCATGTATGATAAACACTGTTACAGCCTTCACTTATTCCACCTTTTAACTCTAGATGTTGGTGTCAATGAACTATTTGAACCAGTTCCATCAAATTTGATATTGAATGAAAAGAAAAGCAATTCGAATATTCGTGACCTGTTCGGTGTGGACAATCTGAGTGATGATGGTGTCGACGATGATAATAGTGACGAAGATGATTTCAATGAATTGGTGGGGATTGAAGACGGTTAGTTTGTTATTTAGAGCTATTGTGTATAAATCTTTGAAGTTGATTTTCATCTTGTAATGATAACATCTACAGAATCACGAAAATCAGTTAATTCTAATATGAACAATATTCAGGAATTCTATGTCTTAACTTTCATATAAAATTTAGATGTTACGAATTTCCTAGTGTGAGTACACCATGATTGAGTTACTCAAAGGGATCTGTGTTTCCAGACTTTCTGTGTTCAACCGAACCACAATTGTGGACGGATTCCTTTTATATATTCTGACTTCGTTAACTACATAAGTCACTGCTTCTAATTGAAACTTGGACGCACTCATTTTTAATAAGTTAGTAGTGAGCTGAATTTACTAGTGATATTGATAGTGTGTAGTGGAGTACTTACTCTGCAAATATGTTTTCGGTTCATTTGACATATTTGTACAATGGTTGATAGTTGCGATAGCTCTTCGTTGTTGATGCTTCGACAAATTTGAAGAAAAATTCCATCACCATTCCATTTCACCAGTTCAGCCTGGTGAAGATGTACTTCAGTATATATTAAGAGGATTTCTTTACTCTCCACCAATGAGTCACGCTTTCAAATTTCGCTTCCACATGTGGAGGTATTATTATTAGAGCTAATGCATCTAACGCGTTGGATTTTCCCCCTTCCTACACACAATTGCTGAATTGCAGTCATTAATTCATATTAACTGACACAAATTCAGAAGTTGGTGTTTATTTGATGGTATTAAATATGTGATTCATTAAAATCTTGTGCCCTTGAATAGTACACATCAACTCATGAAATATGTTATTACTATACCATAAGCATTCTTTTACGGAAAGATGAAGTCCTTTCAGTCATAGATGATGGGAAACGCTAGTGAACACGTAATTGAGATGTTAATAACCACCTTATTTCAGCCTTCTCTTGTATGTTGAATATATTCTTGAATGCAGTTTAACTTAGCATATCTTGAAGAATCAAAGTTAGCTGCTAGATACTGTCATATACCTCAGTAATTGACTTTCTGTACAACTTATCATTTCGCTGCACTGTGCCACCATCCTTCATTGTCTCTCTTCCAAATATTCATTCATCTCTCTCTACTTCTTTTTGTTTGAATAGATGAAGGGAAGGACTATGGACTTTCAGAGAATGGAGCCAGTATACAAAAATGCTTAACTGTTAAACAGCGTTTGGAAAAAGACAAATTAATTGAACAGCATGTTAATAAAGTGATTCAACTTGAAGAGGCGGAGAAACAGCTGAAGACAACTTTGTCGGGTAGCTCTGGTAGTAATCCTAACAAGTCTGTTAGTACTGTGTTGGCAGCATGTGCTTTACGACGTAAAGAAGCAAGTGAGTTTAAAGCCAAAATGACAAGGTCCAATTGACTTTAAGGACAGATGTAAAGTTATTCAATCGGAAGAGCGAGTGAGGTGTATAGAAATAGGGTTCGGAATCAAGTAGTTGCATTCATAAAAGAATTATTAGTACTTGACTAAAATTTAAATTGTTAGGGTTGTACATTAAGCTAAATGGGCTTTTGAAGAAGTGCATTTCTACCGGTTGTAAAAAGAATTGGGAACACTAGCTACAAAGGCGAAATAGATCTTTGTCCTTCTTTCCGACGTTTACCTTGGAAGCCTGCCTCAGATGTTGTACAACAAACAGTGCTGATATTAAGAGAGTGAATCGTGGCGCATTGCATACTGTGTGTCGACTGATTTTTATTTCCTTCACGTTCCCCAGTGGAGCATACGGCTTCAGGGTAATGGCTTGAAGTTTTTGTAGCAGTGCTTACCTTACAGGATGGGGTTGCTAGCCTCTTGCCAAACCTTTCCTCTTCACCAGCATTATTTCTGGCTTAGCGAGGTAAAAGGGTGCGTCGATCGGGGATCGAACCCCGGACCATGTACATGGTCGGCGAGTGTCTTAACCGCTATACCACCGACGCACGTGTCGACTGATTAGTCTGAGTATTTGTCAAGTTATATCACGGGATGATATCAGTTAGAAGAGTATTGAAAACCAGGGAGTATTGAACAGATATTTCGTTCTAAGACGGGGGTCTTCATTGGTACTCACGCATAACTCTACGGAGAATTGAACGCAAGACGTCCAAGTGACGAGGCGAGCCTGTTAACTATTCAGCCACTGAGATGAAATCCAAAGGACCACGAGAGCTAATTTCTATCAATTCGCCAATAAGACAATGATCTGTAATCTCAGTTGAAGCCAGTTGAATCCATTGAAACCATGCGAATTAACTGATTATTCAATAAGCGAGTATACTTCACTACAACCGGTTGCTTAAAAGTCTTACGTATTATACTGGTGAGTAATTCTTAAGGAGGAGTAATTGCTGATGACTGATTCTGGTTCTGCAGGATAATCTGAGTCAGGTGTGCGACTGTTTTTCTCAAGACACCAGTAAATACGATAAGTTATTGTAGCATTCCAGGTATGAAAGAAAAGGAGAGCAGACAATTTTCTTCTCCTCGTCACTTAAGTGTTGTATTCATGTTTCTGTTTTACATTGTTGTTTTAGTTATATAGTCAGTCTAAAAGTTGAGATATTCTTGTTTATTTAGCGTTATTTCATTGATTTTCAAATTGTCTTCTCTTCTAGTTAACTCGCTGAACAATGCTGCGTTTACTCCTTTTGGAAATAAGAGTCCTGTCGTTCCGACTAAATCCACGGCTATTACACCTGTCTCAAATAATTTTGATAATCATTCCTCTACAGGTGATAAAGACTGTTGGCTTGCAGTGCCTACAAGACTACGAGTTTAGTAAGTCACCGAAGCTTTTGTTTTGTATCAGATTTCGTAGGGTTGGGTTAGTAATGAAATGTTCGCTGAGATGTGGTTCGTTGTTCTTGAAATTCCAATTTCAACTCGTTGATGAGTGTGAAACCAAGTTCACCTACTGAGGTTGGAAAGACCACACTTTCATGTGTTGATGGTTTTACTTCTCAGTCGCCCAGTCAGAAATAGATGGAGTGGAATCCGAACCATGAGGCTCATTCACTGAAACTCCAGTGTCGACTGAGAGAGTTTCGAAGTAGAAATCTGCACAGAAGTGCAGACGTCCAATTTGCTGCATTTCATTAAAGCACACAAGGGTAGGGGGGATGAAATGCAGATGAACTACATTGAGAGGAATTGTTTGGATGAAAGAGTAAGTACATGGAGAGTAATACGAATTTAATGGATCTGGATGTTTAGAGAAAGTGAATTATTGCATGCCATTGAGAACAGCTTTGAATCATGTCACCAACAGCCTGCAGCGTTTCAAGCGCTTAAACCAATGAGCCAGTTCCCCACTAAACCTAGGTGTAATCGTTACGGAAATTATAAACTGTTAACTTGTTCACAGAAGTATATTTTCGTAAAAGTATTCAGGTCAGTACCAAAGGATATTTCAATACTTTCCGTTATGAAATGAATTCAATTTATATTAGTTATTAATAATAAGCACCACTGATTAACAACGTACTTACCAAACGATGCCTGTTAAAATCCAGATTATTACTTGTGGCTGAAGCATCTGTGTACCGAGCGTCTTATGCTTCGTATGACCATCTTTTTGGCTGTAAGTGATATGGGAGTGTTATAAACGTAACACTGCTGGGATTTGGATTCGATCTTACTGTTACTTCAACACACAAGAGTGTACGACTAATCACTGAAGTGCCATTCGCACACTGAGTAAGATAGAAAAGACTTTCTGATAAGACAAAGATTCATAGTTCCAAGGAAAAGGCGAATGTGAATAAAAAATATTGTTAATTCTGTAGTTATTTCACATGATTAATACATTACTAGTTTAGTGTATAAACTATGTTCTGACAAGATAGCACCCACTGGTAAAAATCCAATAAGGTGACTATTAATAATCCTTGAAATACCTTACGGTCGAATAGGCCGGTTTACAGGTCACGTAAACACTAACTCAAAATATGTCGTTTCTTGTCCTAACGAGTAATAGTACACAAAAAGTTTTTAGTTACTGTTAGTCATATAAATGTAAAAATTGTGCTGTAGGGTAAGTTATAACATTTTATCAGGAGAGATACAGGTGTATTAAGATGATGAAGTCGAGTGGGGATGATTGAGCGTAGCATAAGAAGTGGCCACTCTTCAAAGCTTTGGTCAGAAGTAGATGAACAGTGTCCCATTGAACTATATTTCAACCTGTCCCATTTAGGACTTACATCATTGTTTTTGAATATTTAAAAAATGTTCAGGTGTATCTATATTTTCCTGTATGCATATGTATATAAGAAACAGTCAGTGATTCTGTGAGTAACATCTCTTGATCTAATCGTAATCAGTGTTTTCGCATGCTGATCGTGTTTCAGCCATGTATTTCCAAATCATCTGAACCAACTTCATCAGTCGATTTTAGTACATGTGTGGTGATAACCGTCGCCTGATCTTTTCAACTGCATATGAGAAATAGTCTCTTGACGTATATAATAGAAATGGGGCTGTTCAATATGCTTATTTTTATTGGCGTCAGTAATTCCTTTACTGCAGAAGTTAAGGCAGTATATATATATACGTTTGAACACGCTCTCCTAAGAATCAGTCGGTTATATGTGGTACGAGTGTAGATATAACATATGAATTGTATAGGAATTTCTTATGTGAAACGCGAGTGATTGATAATCGAGTATAATTGATAAAACCCTTGATATCAAAAGTACGTTTTTGTCGATAACACCTGTGATTAACTTTGTTGAATTCCTATGCAGTCGAGCTCGGATTTCTTCTGAACTATGGACCAGCAGAACGTCAGACCGTGAAGTGCTCACTCTACCTCAGTATATTCAACGCCATCGTAGTCATCAATCAGTGAGTAAATCTCAGAAACCATTTTGCAGTGAAGCAGTTGTAGTTGGCGTTATCGGATCGAAATTGCCCCCTCGTCGTTCTCGCAATGATCGTGTGTATTCTGTCTGGTGCCTGAGTGATTTGGAACAAGTCGGTCCGGGATCAGCATCGGGCTGTGTAAAACTGTTTCTTTTTGGGAATTGTCACGAAAAGTTATGGAAGGAAACTGAAGGTAGTGTAGTTGCTGTCCTGAATCCTCGTTCACTTGCCTCCGGTTTGGTGAGTGATTTTTATTATTGTAAATGATTCTACTTTATTTGGTGATAATGTAGTAATCCTCCGTTGCGTTTTTCTACTATTGATAATCTTTGAATCATTTATTCAATTTTCACTCTTCAGTTGATTGATTGGGCGCAAGTGCTCAACCTTTGTTGACATGTCGGTTCCTTGTGCGGATGCACTGACGATGTCTGATGATTTAATCTGAAGTAATTTGGTGGATATTAATCAGGATTGGAATCCAGGATGCACACTTCGTCCCATTGGGTACTCGTCAACCGAATCCACTTGCATTCCTCAGTTAGGTACATCCTGAAGAGTCCCAGATAGGACGAAACGCGCATCCTAGATTCTGCTGCTAGTCATCATGCACCAAATTACTTCAGGATAAATCTTTGGATCAGTGTATTGCGTTTGTGGTAACTTCATTATGGCATGTACTCCTGTAAAATATTGAATGTATTATTATTATTATTATATTATTGTTACCTTGGATTCTCAGTGGAACATAAGGCTTCAACAACGTATCTCTTTGTTCTAATTGGTGCTGTCCTCTTGAGCTAGGCCTCCGACTGTCCATAACCTCTCGTCTTCTCCTCTCAGGATCTCCTCCTCGTCACCCTAGGGCGACCCATTCGTCGTTTCCTATTGGGATTCCACTCGAGCAATGGCCTGCATTGCGTGCAACGTCATTTGACGGCCTCCTCAACGTTTGCCCGATCTATCTCCATCTCCAACGTAGAGCACGTTGACCGCTTCACTAACTTGGGAAGTACCATCAGCCCCAACGGGTTGATCTCTGACGAAATATCAGCACGGATACAGAGGGCTAGTTGTGTTCACCCTGTTCAGCTTCAGTCTATTTCATTATTAATAAATGGTTAACAGTTTTTCAGCTTTGCCATGGAGTACCATTTCCCCTTTGAAAGTAGCATGTTATAGTTGAGAAATTTTAACAGCTATGCGAATTCCATCTCGTACTTTAGTGAATCTACCGATAATATGATTCTGGTGTACAACACTCACATTCCTTAGGACAATAGGATATCTTACAGATGGCTTGTTATGTTTTACTTTGCACCCAAATGGTGAACAGGAACTTCAGTAGAATAAATCATCTAGCTTCCTAATAAATCAAATTCTGCAGCACGGCAGCAGGAAGCGCGGTCGTTGTTAATCCGGGCCCCGACAGATCCGGCATGATATTTTGTGACTTTGTTTGAGTCATAGCATTGGATTGGGTAACTGCTTTTTGTCTAACCGCTATCCAAACAACCTTTCTGGCATGGTAGGACCTCCAGCGACATAAGTCTCAGCCAGTATATCTTGTTGGGTCATTGCGGTGTTCAAGCCCGACCACCACGTCAAGGTAGCAGCTTTCGGTCGGGAGGACTGTAGGTACATTCCACCCGTATCTGGATAGATCTTCAGGTAGCATTGAAGGTAAATTAAGTAGGCTCTTGGACCAAACTTCTCACAACCACAAACTGTCGCGCAATGGTGATATCTCTACCAGAACTAATATAATTTTATATTCCTGTGCAAGATTCATGTAGTGACTGAATATTTAGTACTCCAGAGTGAATATATTGTTGGTAAATAGAAATATAGCTCCCGGTGTTGTAAAGTCTTGTATATGAGGAGAGTGTTTTGGAGGACTTTTTGCCGATTGAAACATTTTCGTTCCAGAAGACCACAGTATTGTTTGTCACGTTACTGAGTTAAAGATGTTGTTTATGATCTCTTACCATGGGTTCATGGACAATAATGACACTTATTTCTGTTTTTAGAGCTCTTTCAAATGATTCATTTCACTGACAGGTTAGTCAGTACTCCCAAACGTTGATCTCCGACGAAATCTCAGCACGAATACAGAAGGCTAGTTTCGCACATGCCAGTTTACGCCATCTCTGGCGTAGACGTGATATCCGGTTATCGACCAAAGGACGTGTGTACTGCTCAGCAGTCCGCTCTATCCTCCTTTATGGCTGGCTGTGAGACCTGGCCATTGAGAGCGGAAGACATGAAAAGATTAGCTGTCTTTGATCATAGGTGCCTGCGTTCTATCTCCCGCGTGAAGTGGTATAATAAGGTGAGCAATATTGAGGTTAGGCGTCGAGTGCTAGGTAAGGCGGGGAAATCAATAGACGAGACTGTGAAATTACATCGACTGAGATGGTTAGGACATGTGTTACGTATGCCTAGTCATCGCCTTCCTCGATGGGCAATGTTAGCTGATATAGGGCCAGGATGGAAAAGGGTTAGCGGCAGTCAAACGAAAACATGGCACCAGTCAATGAAATCTACAACAGTTGGTCTAAGCCACGTAGGAAGGTGTAGACTTCCTGGTTTGGGTCCTCGGGACGGTAAAAACCAATGGTTGGAAACAATTGGTGACATGGCTCAAAATCGTTCTCAATAGCTGGTGCAGATGCATCCATCCCTTGTGACTTATGATTTCCAATGAAACTGTTTTCTTCTTCTTTATTACTATTAGGTTGTCTCACACCTCTGTTTATTGTCTCAAATATGCATTTCTCCTACTTTCTTCTCTTGCTTTGTGTGCTACATGGAGTGTGGCGACTTGAACTGCCGCACGTCGGTGGAAAGTTCTATGTCGAAATCAGACAGAGACATATCTCCATTTTCTCCCATATATTTCTTGAACGATAGGTTCTTGGTTCGTTTGTTCCCATAGTTTATTGTTGCTAATTCTTTCTGGCCATTTGATCTTCAATTTAGAAGGAAAACAGCTGTTGATAAAATTCTGCAACCTGTTGGAAATGCTTTTTGTGATGCGCTTATTTTCTGACCCGTATAGAAGAACTAACTGGCTCAACATTTGTGTTGAGTATCGGAATCTTGTTCTTTATGCCGCGGAGTTTAGAAAATTTTCAGCCTGGTTTCAGGTTGATGAAGGTGTATCTTGCCCTTCCGATTTTGGCCTGGTTTGATATTTTCATCGTCTCCGCCTGTTGTTGAAACAAATGCTTCCTGGATAAGTGAAGAAAGTAGCTACTATCACATCGCTCCCGTTGATGGTGATTGGTGCTGGTTGTTGTTGTTGCTGTTCGTTGGTTATCTTCATCACCTCCGTCTTCTTTGTGTTCACCTGGAGTCCTGTTTTCCTTGCCTGCTTCTTCAGCCAGTTTGTTGCTTTTCGGCTGAAAGTCTTCGAGTTTGTGTGACATCATACATATATCATCTACTAGTCTTATTATCGGTATAACGTATTCCTGTCTTCTCGCTCCCTACAGTCTGATGCATAATCCAGTCCACCACAATCAAAAGTATCATCGGTAATAATAGGCAACCAGATTTCAAATTGTAAAAGAAATCAGATTATATGGTTTAAAAAACTAAGAATCAGTGAGGGTAGATGTAACGGAAGTCATTTACCAAATGGTTAACTGGTGGGTCAATAATCATCACACCAAGGGATTGGCTATCATAATGTTACTAACAGGTTCTGAGATTCGTATGCAGTGGGAACTAACCTCCAGGATCATGACGACAAGATTCAACTCAAAAGGAATTACAATCATCCAACGCTACGCTTCTACGGATAACCGCAAACAGTAGTAGCGACGTTAAAATCCTACAAGACAGGAAGTCTTAAATGCCATAAAGTTGCTCATGGTCGGACGAGCAACAGGACAAGATAGAATTACCCCAGAATTGCTGAAAATAGACCCAGAGACCTCAGCAGATATACTCACGCTAATATTGCAGAAGGTGTGAATGGAATATAAGTCACTTACGGATTGGAAACAAGGCGACTCAAGCCTTTCCGAGAATTGGCGCGGAATGATACTTCTGTCCATCCCAAGCAAAACACTAAGCGGCATCATCTTGGAGAAACTGAAAGATGCTCTGGATGCCATAGTCCTTCCGAAACAAGCTTGTTTTAGGTAAAGAAAGTCTTATACGGACAATTTTGCAGCACTGCTTCAACACTACGGAGTGCCTAAAACTTTTATAAATCTCACCCAACAGCTATATGATTATGCCACATGCTAAGTGATTGACAACGGAAAGTGAGAATGGGTATAAGACAAGGTTGCTTACAATGACTGATAATACCCTTGATTGTGGTTGACTGGATCATGCAACAGATCGTTGGGAACGACAAAATGGACATACGTTGAACCAAGTAAAAGACTCTAGAAGATCTGCGCTTGGCGAACGATTTATGTTCAATGTCGCAGAAACTTGAAGATCTGTTGGCGAAAACCAACAAGTTAGCAAAAGCAGCAGTGAAGACAGGACTCCACGTGAAAATAGGGAAAACAGGTGTTGAAAATACAAGTAACAGTCACTATCAACTGGAGTAATCGAAAGCAAGTCATATTTTTCACTTATCTAGGTAGCATCGTTTCATTTACAGACGGTGCGGATGAAGATGCCAAAGATAGGATCAGAAAAGCAAAACAGACCTTCACTTTTCTAATATTAGAGTGGAAATCAGCTACAAGGAAAATTCAGGTTTTCAGCACTAATGTGAACTCAGTGCATGTGTATGGCTAAAAAACTTGTCATGTCACAGAAAACATTTCCCACAGGCTGTAGACTTTTGTTAACAGTTGCCTTTGTTCCGTACTGAAGATGGCGACAAAGGATTAGCGATAAGGAAATTTGGCAATGAACCAAAAACCTACTGCTGAACTAATATATCGAAGGAAATGAGGATGGACTGGACACAAACTGAGGAAACCGGTGAGTGCTATCAAGCGCCATACCTTCGAGTATAGCCGAAGTGGGTAACGAATTGGGAGTTCAAGTATGACACGGAGGAGATCGTGTGATAGGAGTAAATGAAAGCTTTTGGGTAATCGTGGTCATCTAAAAAGGACTTCAGACAAGAGAGTGAAATAAAGGGAATAATAATAATGAGGCGATATACATACGTTTATAAATAACCTGAAAAATTATGCAGAGCGTTGAAATGCTTATTTCAAATTACCTTGTTGTTGTTCTACACTAATCAGGTGAAAATTCTTACTAACTGCTCACTTATTAATTTAAACAACCTATTCGATACTACTCATTTCTGACTTGTTAGTGGTAAATATTCGGCGAATATAAAAGTACACCAATGTAAACTCCACAAAAAACAACATAGATTTGTTAAAGATTATCACATAACTATATTAATGAAGATTTTTGAAATTTTATTGACTACAGTAAAGTCATGTTGCCTTCTCTTAGACTAACTGATGAATTCGGCTTGATTTTAATAACATTTACTTATTTTACTAGTTCCATAGAGGTTGGGGTTGCATTCTAGTTGTAACTGCTGGAACAAATGATTGAATAGATGAAAAACGTCGTATTAGCTCGCTCATCTGTTATAAACAAGACATCAAGTTAATTAACATAAAGGAATAAAAGATTTTGTATCTGGGTAGCTAAATCAATCAGTAATTTTCAAATGTATTTTAATTTAAATGACAATAAACGACAATTTTTAATTCATCCAAATAAACTGAATTAGTAGAGTTGGAACAATTATATGCGCTACCATTTCTTCTGATTAATATTTATTCGTATGATGTATGTGAAGTGTTTAGAAACTATGGTCTCTTCTGTCTGACTCACATTTAGTTGGTATAATTCATATCTGTGATTGAAACTGGGGAAAAACATTATTTTAATAATATCTGAATCAAAGAATGATTGTTGAATAGTTAACAAAATGCTGAAAACTTGTTGTGCACGTCACTCAGTACCTGCCCTACATATATATATATATATATATATGTTAATCTGTGGTAGTGATTCATGTCGTGTCAAATTATCAATTGTACATGACGACGACGACGACGGTGCATGGCTGGTTTTGCTATAATCTGTGTCAATGTATTTGTCCTTTTCTTTCAGACATTTACAGATGAGAAAGATGTTGGTATTACACTGGACTCACCGTTGCATGTTATGATTCTTGGTGAATCTCCTGATTATGGGATTTGCAGTGCAACAACAAAATCTGGTCAATCGTGTTTTCATGTTATTAACAAGTAATTAGTTCTCTTTAAAGTAATCTTGGTTATTGGTGATTGTTTGTTATATTTCTGCTTTTTAAAAGAAAAACAAATTCTCTAATTAGTCCTTTTGATCTTATTTGACGGTTGTTCAGAATCGTGTGGATTCATTTCGTCGTAAGGTGGTCAAGTGAATTAGTGAGAGGGATGTTCATTAATTTTTCTAAAAATCTAGCTTTAGAGTTTGTATATACTCTTTATTGTCTTATTTGAATTTGAAAATTCCCATTCAGTCATAGAAAAGAAAAAGCGTTCAGTAAAGAGTTACTCTTTTCGGCGATATCATTCTCAAGCTGTACAAACCGCAAATTTATAGTAATTTTTCTTGGCAACAAAAGGAATATTTCCAAAGATGTGTTAATGCAATTGTTAATTTTTGACAACAAATTACGTAATTTAGAAGGCGTTAATCGGTTAGAAACTAAAATAAAGTTACAAAAGTAGGTTAGCTAATATTTCATTGAACCCTATCAATTAGATTACGTCACCCAACCTACTTTTGTAACTTTATTTTAGTTTCTAACCGATTAACGCCTTCTAAATTACGTAATTTGTTGTCAAAAATTAACAATAGCATTAACACATCTTTGAAAATATTCCTTTTGTTGCCAAGAAAAATTACTATAAATTTGCGGTTTGTACAGCTTGAGAATGATATCGCCGAAAAGAGTAACTCTTTACTGAACGCCTTTTCTTTTTTATTTGAATTCCTTTAGATGTTAGAATAAATTATGCTAAATGTGTCGAATTATCTGAATATTAGGAAATGGAACAGTTAACATCTCAAATACTTGAAGACTGGCTCATCACCCATTAAAAAGCTATTTAAGCAATGAATATACTGTTCAATAAATTCACTTCAGATTTAGTAACCAATAATTCAGAATGGAATATAGGTACGAAATTATGATAAGGTAAGGTAGCCGACGCGGAAGAACAGAAAATGGTGGAGAGAAATACTATTGTTTATTCTTCCACCAATAACCAAACAGGATTACAAATATTACATGCAAAGTCTGTAGATAAACGTTACTATGATGTACACTAGTACTTCTGATCGTATTTCTTCTATCTTTTGACAACCAGTATACGATTAAGCAGTGACAGCCTTCTTGTCTCCTGCCAAATGGAGACTAGTTCGAATGAACAAATGATTCAATATTCACCAACATTCCGCACAATTCATCATCAGGTTCTACAATTATGTGACCACAATAATTAAAGAAATATTGTTATTAACAGTATCACTGTTTTAAATTACATTAAATGTAATTTCGAATGGACATTGTCAAGGAATTGTGTTATAAGTTAATAAACAGGAGGCCATGTTTATTCCAGATTTATTATCAATAGTTATCAACAAGGCGTTATCGAGTCCTCAAGACACTCATGTTCCCTTTTGAACTCAAACACGAATCAGACAGTATGTTCAATTTACATGTATACGTCTTTTTCAAATGGACAACGTAATTTATTTTTGGTTTAGTAATAATTTCTTTGTGTGAGTAGTTTCTAACAAAAATTCATAACGAATGAAAAGTTTTTTGAATTCACCGAAATTGTGCTGACATGATATTAGGCAACCTTACAAAAAGTGAGTACTGCTCAGCAGTGTGCTCGTCATACTTTATATCTGTAAGATCTAGCTTTTAAAATTAGAAGATATGAAAATATTTCATCACTTTTATCATGTGTCGTCGGAATGTTTCTCAATTTCACTCACACCATGTATAATACTAGATTTAATTGTAGTGCGCTAGATAAGATAGGTAAGTGTATCATTGAATTAATAATTCTTCATCTATTAAACCAGCTAGGATGTATGTGCTGGGTATCTTGGAACGTTATTACTATGAAATAAGAAATACTCGTTGAAGTGAAATTAGTTTACATAAGAATTCAGGGTGGTCTGATCATCATTGTATGAAGTTTAGAGCTGCTGTTTTGAGCCATTTAAAGTTGTATTGGTGGTTTGTATGGTACGCTGGGTGTTAGTAACTAGTAGCTGAAGTCTTTCAATAACAGGATTCAATATCGCCTGGACGTATGTGGATATTTTTCCTCTATTTTGTCTCCGCTATGTCCTTTCCCCCGCCCTGATGCGTTTACATTTTATACAAATCATTTACTTTTTTCTTGATTTATGCTGCTCTGTAGTTTGTGTAATAGTGATTTGAAATCTTGATTGTTTCCCTGTTATTAATACTTAGCGTTTCTAGTGTTATTTCTTTTGTTTTATGCTTTCAGAACGATTTGTCGTTATTGTGAATTTCATGTGAAAAAGGCCTACATAGAAGCAAGTTCATCTCGACCAGGTTTTGTGAGTGCAAGGTAAAAATGCGTATTTTGAGCTTCTGAATTTTACTAAGCTTCTCTTCTTTTTTCTGTGTAAATAATATCATTACTTATTAGCAATCAGGTTTTCTGACCGTAGCGGAATACTATGACTTCTTTGTATACAAGAGCCAAATGTTCATTAAGAACGTTGACATATTCTAGAAAATAATTGATTCATTATCTTTATTTGTGTGGAGTTATAGGGTTTGAATTTCGTCCACAATTTTTCCTTCAAGCTGTTGATGTGATACTAACAAGTAGTATATGTATGCATGTACTAAATACAATTTATTGCAGATTGTTGTTAGATAACAATCCACATGTAAAAACATTTATAAGTGCCATCCAAGATAAATACAAACGTTTTGTCAATTTGAACCAACGCCTAAACATGTGAAGCTGTAGCTTATCGGTCTAGTCTCTTGGCTTCCATTCATTGGTTCCACCTACCGAGGTTTCGGCAGCCAAGTGGTACTACTGTACGTCACGCAATGCGCGTGGCTCGTTGTTATCTACGTGGTAATTCAAGTGGTGGTAACTCTGAACAGTAGTGACCCAAACGACGAACTCAAGTGAACGGACCTTGATCTACCAATTAGATGAGCCTATAGTTTGTTTATTTTTCCTTCACGTTCCCCAGTGGAACATAGGGCTTCAAGCTAGTGGCTTGAAGTTTCTGTAGCAGTATTTATTTTACAGGATGGGGTTGCTAGCCTCATGCCCAACCTTTCCTCTTCACCAGCACTATTTCTGGCTCAGCGAGGTAAAGGAGTGCGTCGGCCGGGGATCGAACCCCGGACCATGTGCATGGTCGGCGAGCGTCCTAACCGCTATGCCTCCGAGCCTATAGTAAACACTAGTAATTTAAAAAACTGTTTTATAAACATCAACTTCAGTGTTCAAAAGTAACTTTTTCGTAAGTGTCCCAAGAAAACCTATTTCCTTATTGGAGTCTTCAGTGGTAATCTAAACCTACTTCTGTACATAAATTCATCCAGGTAACTGTATATTATGCTGTTTCGTGATGCATTCATAATTCTGCAGTACCCATGAACCTAAAAAAGCAACGACGTATCTACTCGAAAAGATTTTTCGTATCGACAGGCTCGACGTCAGTACACATATCCATCAAGAGAGGCTGCATATCTCTGTAAAGACATTACTTCATCTACAAGCTTCCTATAAGCCTAGTATCTGTACAGTACTGAGGTACCACCTCTTGACTGAATTTGGAACGTTGTTCGTGTACTACATCTAGATATCCGCGATTTTAGTATTGAACTCATCTGATTGGTTGATAAAGGTCACTACGTCCGTTGACTTAGGTCCCTTGTTTGGATCGGTACTGTTTAGTTCCCAAGTGATTGCTGATTTTTTTAAAATACTTAGACGTGCATGGTCCCTTCGATTTACATTTATATGGTTAGATGGAGAAACTCATCCGATGCTGCGCACCATCCTGTCTTTTTGAATAGTGTGCATTAACATTTTTAAGATGCAATTATTGGAACATTCTGATAAAGGTAATAAATTAATAAAATAAACTCTGAAGTGAGTTGATGTAACAAGATGAGAGTTCGAAGATTTTACAGTGATTAATCATTGATAATAATAGGCGTTTCGTTGTTACTGTCTATTTTTACTAACAAAGTTTTGATTGTTGTCTTGAGACTGAAATACTCATCATTGTGATATACTGTGATGTTTCCTGTTTGTGAATGATCGGTAAAAATGGTCTAAGCTTAAAGGCTTGTTGTCACCAAACAACAACCAATCTCTTAATCTTGATTTAGATCGTCAATTAATATCAGTTAGAGAACCATTGAAAGAAAGGGAGTAATGGATATCTATTTCATACTAGTTTGGGACTCTTCGTCAGTACGCACCCGTGACCCCGATCAGTATAGAACCTAGGACCTTGAGATTACGAAGCCAGCCAGTTGATCATTTATACATTGAGACGGAATACAACGGCCTCCCCTTGAATTCTGACTTCTGTTAATTCACGATCAAATAAAATACACTACGTTTTTGAGTGTTTTGATTAAATAAAATTCGATTTACACTTCCAAAGAAGTACAATGACACTGATTACTGTACAGTGTCTGACTTCTGTATGTAGTCGTTCCTAATAAGGTCACTCGCTGTCTAAGTACCTCTGCAGTTGATGAACTGAATCTCCTAGTCAACGGAATTCCTGTGGATGTCACTAAGGTGTGTAGTTAGAGTTAGTTAGGACTCAGTTACTTGGGACAGATTTTTTATAAGCCGCGCTATTGGCCACTTGTATTGTGTGAGGGTTAGTGATACCATCTAGGCCAGAATAAAGGAACTCAAGAAGGACTCGATATCAAGGCCCATTAGATGAAAGTTGAGCGCTTCAGCCACTAGACTACAATTTAGTGAAACCCAGATCTAAAGATTACTGTCATTCATTTTCAGTTACTGCACACCAGTCTACTAACTTCACTCAGCTTTGTGCTCTGGACTTGTAGACAAACATATCTTATATTATTTTCAGTATTACTGACATTTATTTAATAGATTCACATAGAATGATATATTATAGACTGTAAAATTATAGTAAATTCATACATAGTTTTCAGTGTACACCATCAAATATTTCTGAATAATCTATTTATTTTTCTTATATTCAAGTGCAATGCATACCATACAATCATTAACATAACTTTGTCAATATCTTGTTATGAAACGTTATAAGTACTAACCATCGAGTTTTCCTTTTCAACGGGTACCTTCATTATATTTCTTGACAGTTTACCTGGATTTAGCGGAAGATCCCGACGGTCACAATATTCTGGTGATCACCCACATGGCACTTCTGAACCTGGTGTATATACCCTTCCAATTAATACAAATTTCTTACTGGATAATGGTCATAGATCTGTTGTGTAAGTGATTTCACAATGATATTATGTTGCATGATTGTCTTAGTTCATAGTCAATGTCTTGCACTTTTATATTCTAAATATTGAACAGGTGTTTAGTATCCAAGTTCACGAAAAGTTGCTTTCAGTAAACTAAAGCAACTCTTTCTGTCTTTTCATGATTTCATTGTAAATGTCATTTTTTCCCTTTTAAGGTTTGTTGTGTTCATTCCGTTGCGAGTGGAACACAGGTGCTTAAACATTGAAGTTTAATTACAAATTGTGTTACTCTTATAATAATATATTTATTCCTATCTATGTAGGAACACAAATTTTACGGGCATGGATAAGTATTATTTACATTACATAAATTTGATTTATAGTGAATTTATATGGTTGCTGTCTTTTTTGGCTTGAGTTTGTGGGAACATTCTGTTAACTAGTCATTCAATGGAGCGCATTAAGAGATATAGGAATATTGTCTTCGCATTAACAAATCAACCCAAGTATGTGTTGGATGGATCACAAATACTTGAGAAAAAAAGCTTGAAGTCACTCCCCCCATATGACTTTGCTGTGTACGGCATCGAATCTTATTCTTAATTTATATCCAATTTTTTTTTGTATAATTTTCTCAGCATTTTCATCGTAGGTATCATCAGAGTGGTGTTCCTAGCCTCACAACCAATCTCCCCTTCTTTGTCACCTCGACTGCTGAATCGAGCGAGGTTTAGAAGTGCGTCGGCTGGAAGTATAACTGGGAAGTTCTGCATGAATGGCGAGCACTTTACCATTGAATTATCGGCGCATCGTTTAACTGAATTGACGCATGTAAAATGTTTATATCATAGTGCTTAACAGTGTTGAGTACGACACTGTACACAACCGAAAATTTCATATCTAGACGAATACAGTGGCTACCGGTTGGTGTAGACTGGATAGTCTTACAGTAGGATCAGGCACCTTATTAATAAGTTTGTTTACTTCGTATTCGACGATGGTTATGATTGAAATAAATTCCTCCAAGTTTGTATGCATTTCTTGCTGATTTCACCCTGTGGCGTGTTGTGCTGACAAGATTTATCAGTAGTATATAGACACAATGATAGGCACATATATTCACACCTTTGATTCAATTTCTTCACAGGATGTAATTTCTTACGATTATACAGCTTGATAATAAATTCGTTGAAAAGGGTCTTTTCTCTGAATATTGTGTTCTTAGTACTACAATGGAAATTATTAAACATTGATAGGAAGCAACCAAAATTTGAAAACAATATTTAAAGTCAATGGCTGTGGTGGCATAAGTGTATATTCTTCAAATCCGTATTCGGTCTGCATTGTGGTCAGGAAGTAATCTAATTGCACAACTTTTCGTCCCAAGGTTTAGTCTTTGGAAAATTGGCAACCGATCCAAACAGTTTATTATCCACTGACTTAGCCGACGTTAAATGCATAAATACAGTGTATTTTTCCTCAATAAAATTTCCGTTGCCAAGTTTCTTGCCTTCCTTCACTACAAAACAATAAGCAAAATATCTAGTTTCCCGGAGCATTCTATTATTTGACTCCTTACAATATGTAATAGTATAGGAAATATTGTTAAAAAATGTAACTCAGTAGAAATTGAGCATCTGAGACGAGCAGTTTTGAAGAAGACATGTTTATCAGTAATATCAGTCACAATGCTGGTTTTTATTTGAAATGTATGATTTATACACTTCGAATGAAACTGGTGAGAACACAGAAAATTCATGATAAATTTTAGTCAGTTCGAATGGATTACATACTGGCTTTATAAGAGAAAATTCGATAATATTCCTTTGATGTGCTTCAAAGAGCAAATCCGGAAGTGTCTAATTTGTTGATTAAAGTGAACTCAATTAATGAGTTTCTCAGTCGGCGTTGTATCCTTCAAAGTCACTAACTCGTTATACTCTCTGATTGTTTCCAAACAGTGAATTAATGCATTTGTTTAAACTATATAACTAAATATCGTTTTTCTGTGATCCTAAGAAGTCTTATTAATGTCTAATATTACTACGGAACCACTCATTTTTACTATTTTCTATGTCAGTGTAGTGATTCTCTTAGTCAGTTAATTACTCTAGTTCGATTTATCTTCTGTTTTATTTTAATTCTTGTTAGACCTTCAGCCAGAGTTAAACTGAGCGTGGCTAAACTTACAGCCGCTGGCTATCAATTCGATGCATCAACTGGATTGGGTGGACATGGTAAAACACCTACAACGCCAAAATCATCGTCTTCATCTTCTCGTCCTTCTGTAAGCAGTAATCAAACTACCGATTCCAATGGAGATTATGATCGCAGCATACCAAAGGATTGTGCAACTGTTGTCGTCAATGAGACCATCAGTAATAGCACGAAGGATAGTGTCAAGGAGAAGAGTTTGCCTAAGTCTAGTGAAACACCAGCCGAACTGAACGAAGCTGAAAGCAAGCTTGTTTCCGCTTTACGTCGGCCTTCCGCTGGCTCTCTGAACCTATTAAAACATTTGGAGCATGAGAACGAAACTGATAGTACTGGCAGTGTTTCTAGAGTATCTACTAGGAAGACGAACAGTAAACAGCCTTTAGTCAGTATTCGGAAACCCAACACACAATCTAGTTCATCTTCTGTAACATTTGCCAAGTTCTTCTCTTCAGTGAACGAGAAGCGTCGAAATTCAACATCATTACCTAATCCTATTAAGCCTATGTTAGGCAATCCATCACAAACGTTTATCGATTTAGGCCCTATGCCATCGACTAGTACTCAGTCATCTTTATGTCAGTCAACATGCATTACAGACGCTGCACGTCTACGTGCTACTGCTCTGGTTAATTCACATGGAGGTGTAGATGAGATGTTAAAAAATGAAACGCTTAAACGAAAAGCAGATATTTTGAAGTCATCATCTTATAAAACATCATCGTGAGTGTATCCTTATTCATAACTGAATCGTTTAAATAGATTTAGGTTAGAATGAATGTTGACCATCGTGTTTCTTCATATAAACTCTTTAAAAGGTATATTGTAGTATTCCGGTAGAATAAAAGAGATAATTTATGTGCAAAGTTAGTCTTTTCAAAAAAGTTCTTTAATAAATATAATTGCACTAAAGAAAAGTTATTTCTAGAAGATAATTTGCGGAAATTGTCGGACTGCGTAAAACAGAATTGTGATATTTACTTATCTTTCATATTCACCATTTACTAGCAGTTAGTTATTCACCGCACTTCTTAAAGATCATGTGATTTGGTTTCATAGGAGAATTCTGATGATGACGATGATGATGAGCGTATTAGAGGATTTCAGAGACTACCTGAGGTAGATTTAGATTTTCAAACTGCTATTCATGTCATTGGTGATAATTAAGGGTGAAATCAAAGCACTACCAACTTAGCTAAGAAACCGATTACGAGAATGTTTAATACTGTAGTTTGAAGGCTCAATTTTCTTCCCACATGACATTCAAAATAGTTATTCACTGTTGAGAAATTTCATAAAGCGTTACATTATCTCTTGCTTGTTTGCAGATTAGTCAAGTAGACAGTATAACAATTCTTATCAGTAGGAGTTGTATTTTCATATAATCGATACTTTGTTATTCCGTTATCATTTTTAATACAGACCTTTATCAGAAATCCTTGATAATAATCCTTCGAAACGTCCAAAGTTATCGTTATCCTCATCTGATATAACCGGTAATAATAAATCAGCATGCTCTCCTCATCAAACGGTAGAAAAGTCATTAAAACAGATTCGGGCCAATAAGTTGGCTGAATTAGCTAAACAAATTAATCAAGGTTCAGCTCATAAACATTTGGTCAATGATCTTGAAAATCAAACTGAACAAATTCGTTTGGATAATTTAGAAAGACGTGATGAATTTGAAGAGAAACTGGTGAATCAAGATAAGGAGGCTTGTACATATGTGATATGTGAGACTGTAAGTGCACTTTTTTTCAAATCTTTGTGTGGTAGAAAACAAGATGTAAGGCATGTTGATGTTTAGTTGGTTACTAGTATAGCTATGGTATGTAGCCTGTTGTATTTTCTGATATTGTTTTCGGGAAGATATGCTCTCATATTTGTCAGATCTGATACAACGGTAAGTTAGTGTATATCACATACGTTTAATCCATCCTGGATATATTTTTTATAAAATATTTTTGTCGATCTGTCTAGAAATTTGATGGATGGGTTTATGGATTCCAATTTGGAACAAATTTTAGCTTGTTTGTATATCACTGTTTATCCAGTATCAGATGACTTCACGCTGAATTCATGATATTGTTTTCTTTAAGCATTTGCATTTTTTTCATTCCCTGCATTCTGAGTGGAACATAGAGCCTTAAGTCTTGTGGTTTTAGTAGTGATAGTGTCGTTTCTTACGTCGTGGGGTTGCTAGCCTCACAATCAACCTTCACTCTTTTTTCTCTGCTTATTTCCGACCAGTGAACTAGGAGAGATTCATAAGTGTGTCTACCAGGAATCGAACTGGCACCCCTGGGATGACTAGCGAGCATTCTACCGTTAAACCATCGGTACAAAAATATGTACTACTAAACTCGAAGCCTAACTAGTAATTGCTGCATAGATTTTTTGAAACTTTTAGATTTATTTGCTGTTCTTTATGATTACCTGAATGTTCAACAAAATACCACTCACTGGTACTTTGTCTTCTCAGCAATTTGTACTGTGGTATTATGATCAAAAAATATGCAGCAACCAAAACTGTATATTATGCTCTATATCACGAGTTTGTTTCTCCCCCAATGAAGATTAAATAAATATTTTTGAGATTCGTTCGATGCCTTAAGTCTCTATTTTCAAAATGTCATAATATTACATATCTCAATTACATGGTTTCCTGTATGTATACGTCTTTGTTAGTTAGGAAATATTCACATTGTTCAAAGTAATCTTTCAGAATCATTAAGTTTAATTTCTTTTATCGGATAATTTGGAAAATCGATTTTATTTTTTATCTTTCAGTGTAAATATCGTGCTTTCAAAGCAGCTCCTGATTGCCGTACTAGTAACCATCAGCTAAAATATCTGAAAGGTTTTAAACGATATTTCAGTTGTCGTCACTGTTCAAAGAGAACAGTATCTTTAGATCGTTATCCTACAAATTCATGCCAGTAAGCTTTTATGTCGACAAGAGTTAATTTTTTCTTTTAATAAATAAATTCGTATTTCTGCCTCATTCTCGTAGGAAATTTGTACACAATCAAACACTTTTTAAGTACAGTGAATGTAAGTTTTAAGCTATTCAGTTAGACGAGTATCTAGAGGTGTCTTAGGTTATGACGAGAACGATTGTATTGGAGTAGTTGAGAATATTCTTACCATATCATTTGTATTGTAACAACAGAAGGCAAGACACGATAGCCACGGTATATTTTCAAGTGATCAAACCGCCATTATATATATATATATATATATATATATATATATATTCTCTAACCAATCACTGAGCGTGTGATTTTGATTTACATGATACTCCATGAAATAGAGTGTTCAAATGTATATATAGAATTCTGTTGCTAACTTTGTATTGAACTGTGGGAATATGTGAGAACAATATTCCGTTGGAACACATTATGTGTATCACAACACCACAGTATCACTGACTTATACACCAGAATTTCTTTTCTTCAATATTGGAAACACAACAGCAGACGTTTTCGATCAAAGTCTGACAGTGTAAAACTAGAATTTGGACATTGTGATATAATCTAATTCCATATCGGATAATTTTATTGGCTATAGCACACAGTGATAAAGATTATAGGTTTCCAGGCCGTAGGTGTTACGAACTTCCTGAAATAAGGTCACAGTGAATGAACATAGACTATGCACGAAACGTCCACCTAGAAATGAAGTAGAACTAAAAAGTCTAGAAAAAAGATCGGCTATAGCAATGCATGCTATAGACAGCGGACATAAGATTGATTTCGACAATGTCGAAATTCTTGGAAGAAGTTTTCATTCACATAAAGAAGATTGACTTCTGAAGCCTTGCACATCTTAACCACATCAAATGCAGTGAATAGGAAAGATGGGATAGACTTCCTTTTTTATTGCAATATTCCATAAATCTGGTATAAGCGTTTTTGTCATTTCGATTGTATGTGTTTATTTGGGTGCAGATAGAGAAAGAGGTTAATTGCCATAGCTTTTTTCATCGAATCAACACCAAACATGCACGATCGAAATGGTGATGCGTCAAATAAGTGTTTACTGCAAGTTTTTTACCTGATTACGTAACTCACATCACGTCTCTGTTTCAGCGGTAGAATGCTCGCCAACCATGCATGTTGCCCGGTGTCTCCGGTCGCTGCACGCCTTAACCTATCTAAGCAGGTAGGTAAGTCCGGTGAAGAGGGAAGGTTGGGCATGAGGATAGCAACCTCAACCCGTGAAAATAAAACCAATTCTACCGGAGCTTTGAAGCCCTATGTTCCACTGGAATATCATAAAAGAATAATAATAATGACGTAACTCCCGAAATTTCTGGCTGTTAGCAGCGATGGGCATTAGAATTAAGATTAGGTACGTATGTTTCTAGATCCTCAAATTAGACATACAGGCTGATACTAGAAAGAATTAAAGAACGAGGACACTGTTGAAATTTGATTCCTTATTATGTAAATTCATTCGATAAAGCACACAATAATACGGTTCAACTTATCAGGTAACTTTTTGGAATTATCGTTGGATCTATCGCTTGATACTTGTATCCAAGTTACGGATTAGGGTTGCATATCGTGTCAAAACATTGAAATTTTACCTGGATTTATAATGCCAGGTCTTTGAGAAAGCGAGTAGTATTATAAACTATCAACTATTCCTGTAGATTTCTTTACGCACAGTCACAGGCCACACTTATAACCGTCGACATTAGTTAGTTCAACCGAGAAATTGATTGTTGAGTCTAATTTATCAAGTCGGTGTTCAAGTTATACAGGCGAATTGACTCTACTTCTTGTACAGAAAGCTGAAAGAATTTTATACTACTGAAATTGAACAGTAAAAGCCTGGTGTTGTAACTACATTGTTATGAGTAATAAACTGTGTCCGGAAAATTGTCCAGTTAGTAGAACTGTTCCACTGCGCACATTGTAAATAATTATAATTAATTCGAAATAGGAGGCTTGTCTGATCACCTTTGCCAGCAAAATTAAACAATTTTCCTATGAGACACACTCGCGAAGTTTAATTCTGTATGCGGTTATCGGATGTTTGCCCATTTTAAACCAGTAGGAATATACTTTATTAATATTTAGAATTCAGTATACTTTGCCCATTCATATGGTAAAAATATATCGTTATCTCCTACTTTGTTTATCTTGAGTTTTTCTTTGTTTGTTATTATTTGTAATTACTTGTTACGGTTTCTATAACGTCATTTTTATACCGCTAGGTATTGTGGTGAATCACTGTTTGAGAAAACAGGCGTAATGAAGGTAATTGCATTCTTGATCAAAATAATATTACTGTCTTATATTATATTTAATCCTAGTTGCGTTCATTTAATTTGAGAAACTATCTACGGTGTAATGTACAAAGAAACGTTGTGTGTACTTGTGTCTTAACCTCATAGCGTAAAATACAAATACACTGGAAGTGGTAGATGAAACACCCTAGAAAGTTTAATGTCTTCAAGTTGATTTGGCAACAACACACAGTAGACAGCCACCAGAGGTAGAAAGCTATTAGTGATAAAATTACAATCGAATGGAGATAATTATTAACGCTAAAAGTTCACAAAAATTAAGACAGTGGATACACGCACAAAATCACGTTATCCAGTGAGTGAGTATATACAGCTCGAATAAGCACTAATTAGACACAAGTAAAAACGAGGCACTTCTGATACAATAGACCACGAATAGCAGCATCAATTTATGAAAATGCAATTTTATGTGTTTAACTTTGAAGTCTGAAGCTGTCCACATAACTACCTCAGAAAAATTTTACCAATTTATAATTTAATGTCAAATATCTAAATAGTATATTACTTATGTCACTACGTTAACATATAGCAACGCTACAATGAGCGTCGTTGTTAAGGTATGTAACAAACCCACTCAAGTATATAAGTTATCGCGAAAACCTCCCTTTCATTTTAACCGACTTTAATCGTAGAATGAAGGTGCTCAGTGGCAATCTGAATTTCCTCAGGTAGCTGATCTTATGTGATTTTGTACTATGTGCTTAAAGGGAAGTTGTATTCATATCAGCTACTACGTTTGGCTGTTTTAAAATTTTTTTCTCGACTTCATTGCACAGCTGGGATATCTGTTATAACGTTTGCTATACTATCCACGGAAGCACTTCACAATCGCTGTTTTTTCCCACGCACAGTGAAATATTCTCCAGACAGAATAGATAATGAAAAATAACCAAAGTGACATTTGGTGTTTTCCTACTTGGATTCTTACAGTAGTCACAATCACATGAAGTGAATTTCTCTCTTGCGTTCATCAGATTAACTATTATTATTCCCTTGGGTCTCCAGTGGAACAAAGAGCTTCAACAATACATCTCCACCCATCTTCCATCTTCTTAAGATGGGTCCACGAATACTCATAATCTCTTCCTCACATGATCTCGTCCATGTCACCCTAGGACGACCCGCTTGTCGCTTCTCATTTGGATTCCACTCGAGGGCATGATGCGTGATGTCATTCGACAGTTAGATTAAGTAAATTAAATCCTCATTGATAGACTAAACCGTTTGTTGTCAGCGTCAGTAATATAAAGTAGCACAAACTATCGGATTTTTCTTCTGTATCCTTCCTACATATAAGTGACCACAGGTGCCTGTGTAAGGTGATAAGTACTGTATCCACTGTCTTGGTTAAATGTTTGAAAAGGTTAACAAAAGTATGCATATTCAACAAGTCACATGGTCATGGTTCAGTAGATTTTTTTTCTTACTGTCTATAATGTAAACCATTTTTTCTTCGAGACAATGAACAGTAGCCTTCAGTAATCAAATCACTTTACTGGTAATTAATGCTTAGTCATTAATAAGTAGCGTTCTGTAGAAATTTCTCGTTTCTTTCTGTACACCTTAATCCGAGGGGATTAGTTGTGAGTCTAGCTGTATGAGCAAAATGTTCTACTGTCATCCATAAAGCATACTTAATGATTGCCCTCTGCTTTTGTCAGCAAGTTCATAACATCGAAAGTCATTCCATTAAGGCTCCAATCTTAACAGCGTATACGCAGTCAGTGTCCGATCATTTGTGTTTAATTTTACTGAAGTCGAATTAGTGTTTCCTTTGCCGAGGTATACCTCTATTTCCGCTTTCATTAATGAACAACCACCTATTAAATCATAATGATAAGTGTAATATGGTGGTGAGCAATATGGAGTTATTCATTTATGTAGTACAAATATTTACCGCTGTTACTTGTGTGCATATGCACAGAGGTTGAATATAGCAGCAGATAAAAAGATATTTTAAGCCATTGCTTAATTGGCGTTTTTTTAATCAATGATTGTTTTTTTTCTTGTACTTTTTAAAGGAACGCAAAGGTGCACCTCTACCACATGAACAGCTTTTACCTCGTGGAATTGAAGAAAAGTTTCTCGGTTAACTTTTAATAATCATAAAGGCTATGGTTGTTATAAACTGAAATCAGGATCCATGCATTCATTGTTAATCTCTGAGTACAATGACTAATTTAATGTCTTCAGATTTATACAAACCTACAGAGATTTCAACTTTGTGTTATTTTCTTATTTATACCTCTATTTTATTGAAAATGATTTTGAACTTGTTTATGTAACGTTTATTTGTGTTTTTGTTGTTCGGGTTGAAAAAATACGTTTCAGATCACGTTTAATACTTTAAATTCTGACGTTGTAAATTACATACCACTTGTATCATGGTATACAATCCTTTTTCCATTTAACCTGGGGTTTGATTTTGTGGTCAGCTGTCCATCTTTTTCAACGACTATTTCATTAACCAGTCTTTACGGTGTTTGTCTTACTAAGCTCATAGTGTTAGTGGGTATTACTTTTATTCACCAATACTCACAAAGCGATCTATTTGTGTCTTCCATCAACTAATCAATGTAACAGTTTTCGTGTTTGAGGTTGATACTATTTGAAGTCAAAATCAATATGTTCATTCTTCAATAACCATTTGAGTAGGTTCTCCTCCTCCTTTGCGTAACACTGACGATTTAAAAATATGAAAAGTTGGGTAGAGCGGGACAGGTCTCTGAGTCGTCTTAAAACGTTTAAGAATAATAAGAGAATGATGTTCTTCAAATTCGTCACCTCGAAGGCACAAAGAGCCACTCCTGTTTTACCTTCTAAACAGTTCCAATTGTCAGCAAAGGTATACTAAGGTTATCTTTCAAAGGTGGAAGTAGGAACAAACGCACACTACACGGATCCTTAACTATGTTCGATTAGTAACCGCCACCATATTGTAATAATCAGAATTAAAATTGTATCAATATCGATTGAGCGTTAGACAAATAACCACTGACAGATTCCCACGCACAAGTGACCTTGAACCGACCAGTCAGAAAAAAGGATGATTTTTGCATAAAATTTTACGTATTTTCGCATAAATAAGCATGAAAAAAATCAAACAGGGTACTTTTCTGTAACATGAGTTAAAAAATGTTCCAGTTATTAAGAGGAGTTTCAGTTTTTAAATTAAACCAATTTCTATGCATGTATTCATCCAAATGACTGAAAATAACTTCGTTTTGTGATCCGTTGATAGCTCGGATTCTATTTTTCAGCCTTCCCCAGAAACCTTCGGTGGAATTATCATGAGTACCGGTGACAGGGTCGACGGAATCATTCGAATGGTTCACTCTATGATGTATATATCCCAATTGCGATAATTGGCTATATCCCGCCCATTCATCTGTGTGAATGGTGGTGCCTGGTAACACTAGACGCTGAATAATAGGGAGGAGTGTATCAGCACTCCTATCTAGAATCAGCTCCATAAACCCTTTGCGAATCTAGGTGTCATAAATTCCTAAAACCCAAACGTTATTCGCTCTGGCACCCAGCAATTGGACAGTAACAAGATATTCAGGCAAAGTTAAACTTTCGACACCAATAACAACCAATCGTCGAAGACAGTCTCAACTTTTCAAAGAAAGTTCCTAGAAGACAATTAATTCAGTGTCACTTACCAGTACGCACAGTTATTAGCGCTAGAATAATGGTGAGCTTCCTCAACCAATGACTAGCATGCGTTCAGGGTCATTGGAACATTCACAAGGCCATTGGAACATTTACAATCCTGGGACTCTATTGTTGAACTTCGCCAAATCCCATGCAGGTGAGTTATATTTTGGGTGTATATTTGTCCATTTCCATTATAAGGAAAACAACTCAGATAATGTATTAGATTCGAGCATTCAACATTCGGCAACAAGTCGTAAGAGAAGAATATCTTCTGGCAGACTGCATGAATGCCTTGGATACAGCTACTCCACATTTTACCGCCGTCAAAAACGGTTACGTGATGCAGCATTTAGTGACTGGGACTTCTGGAAACGTTACTCCTCATCTAGAGAAGAGGTGGCAAGGGTTAATACAGTACCTTTGCCTTCAAGTTCAACTGTACAGGGAACAGTGGGTATACGTAGTACTATTGAGACCGTCGCTGTAGTTTCACAAATTGAAGAGAACCGTAACATTTATTATTATATATTAATTAGTTTTAATAGAACTTCAGATTGTTCCTGAAAAGATGACACAAAAAGAGCTGGTCAGAAAATCAATTATGGAATTGTTACTTAGGAACAATGTAATAGGGGTTCTTGCGCAAGATATCTTGGACCGTATGCGTAAATTTAGTCTACATGTACCAACAACCATACGAGGCTTGCTAAAAGATAGCGGCATGTGTGTACCTAGATTTCTTGGACAAGGCGTTTACTATCACATTGGACTGAAGGAAAATCTGCAGCGTTATCTAGATAGTTGGGTTGACTACGGTACTTTTCAACATGTTGGCTTGCAAATCAACTATGACAGTTTATCTATATCGAACAGTTCTTCGCAGCAATTATGGCCATTCCTAGGTCGTATCACAACTCCATACGTCAGTGACGTTTTCTTAATTGGCATACATGGCGGTTTGAGAAAACCGAACAACTTCAATGAGGTTTCTATGGCCCTATTAGTTGAATTGAAAGATCTTTATAAAAACGGCCTATATGTTGAGAAGTGGGGTAAGAGTGTGACTGTCAGTGTTCTAGCATTTATATGTGACACGCCTGCTCGTTCTAATGTAAAACAAACCGTCGGTCACAATGGAAAAACAGGTTGTGATAAATGTGAAGTTGTAGGTTGTCGTTTGGAAGGTAGGATGACATTTCCTAATGGGAACCAGACACTTAGAAATGATAGAACATTCCGCAGCTCAGCGCTATGTTGAACACGTGTACTTTTAGATGTTCGAAATTCAGTCACGAAACACACTGGATATCCTATGTGAATATTGTCTGCAAATGCATGACTGTTCCAACAACTAATGACGAAGTAGTCATCCCCCTGCTTCATACTTTTAATTGAAGGTACTGGGCCGTAATTTTATGCTTGAACTGTTGATATGTAATTCGTCTAAGTTTTTTTTGTGACATCTATTTGTCGTCAAGTCCGAACATCTACCTTTAACTGGTTAATGTTGTTGATGACTTCACACTGCAGTTTCCGATCGAGAATGAAGACCACTTAGAGATGCTGGAAGCATCTTTAAGAGACGAAAAGTATAAACAGCAATATGTGAGTTGACATATTTAATTCTTATTTCTTGTAGACTGCTAAGATGGTTAGCTGCCTTCAGAGTGATCCAAAGTTATCACTTAAGGTCATGATGCACCATGTTCTAAAACCTGAAGTGGCTTTGAAGTTTACATTTCAGGGGACTTTGACAAAGTCCAGCATTGTGCCTTATACCTTTTATAAAATAATGAGATGTAAGGTTCATTTATAAAGTACTTAGTTCTTTAGATGTAATTATGGCGCAATTCTCCGGCCAACTAATGACGTCGAGAGAGGTTGGTGACATAATGGATAAGGCCACGAAATCGTACTTTCACAATTTGAAAGATCGTGTCCAAAGGCGTAAGCTTAAGAAAGGAATTCAGGTAAAATTGCGAAACGCTTGCTTATTTTTATAAGTCAACGTTTATTGAACATATAGTAATGACAACATTGTTTTCATTTGCAGGCTAATGAAAAAGATACCAGGGGATATAACAGTGGCAGTTATGTAAGTAAACCTTTATAAATGTAAATTCTTACAATGTGCTGAGCACTATTTTTCATCAACTAATCTTATATTTTTCTTATTTACAGGATGCTACCAGTGGATCTCACTTGACGGATTTGCAGTGACAATGTACTACAGTTTATTAAATACAAAATTCTCTCAATTATAAAAACTGATTTCCTTCTGTAAACTGAATGAATTGCGCCGGCGTAGGACACAGGTGATGATAATAAGTAGCAGTCTTTTCGTTCTGAAGTAATGCTAGTCAGTTCTGAATATGTGCTGAGAAGGCTAGAATTAAGCTGAAAAAATTGCCACTATGTGCTGAATTAGGTCTTTTCGTTCTGAAGTAATGCTAGTCAGTTCTGAATATGTGCTGAGAAGGCTAGAATTAAGCTGAAAAAATTGCCACTATGTGCTGAATTAGGTCTTTTCGTTCTGAAGTAATGCTAGTCAGTGCTTAATATGTCCTGTAATGGCTGGAACAACGCTGATAAGGAAACCCAGTATGTTCTGATCTACTCGTGAAAATGCCTAGAAAAAGAACACGGTGCTGAATTAGTTCTAGTCATGCTGAAAACCAGCACTGAGTTCTAGTCTGTGCCATTAAACAAACCATTTCAGAACAGATTCAGAATTTACTCACTATAGGATGCAAGAATTATTTCAGAATTACTGAGATTTAATTCAGCATTATTGTAAGCTTGGGATTATCAAAGGTTGAAGTGCAGCAAGCATTCACATATAGGGAATGTTATTAAATTACATTTCAAATGGATTCATGCCTGCCTTTTCGGACTTGGAGAAGGTAGATACAGTATCCTGCTTATTTATTAGGTACTTTTCCTGCGAATTAATACTGTTGTGTATGGTTATGGACGACTCTAAACTATAGAAACCCAAACGAAACAACTTAATGAACGGAATAATGACCTAGAGCAACCAGTTAGATAAGTCCGTAATGGATAGAGGAAATTTTGGATGCTGTACACGAATTACGTAGCAAATTTCACCGAAATCTATTATTTGAGTACTGCTTACACAGCAGGCTCATTGGGGGAGACAAGACGTAGCCAATTGTCATCCGTTGGCCCAATCAGTGATCTACAGTACACATGAACCCAAGGAAAGGAAAGACACATCTTCTCAGACAGATTTTCCAGAACTATAGTTGGGAAATCTGTTCAAATACACATCAAAAGAGGCTGCATACTTCTGCTCATGTACAAGCCTAATATCCTGACAGTACTAAAATACTACCTCTTGGCGGAATTCGCAATGCAATTCTGGTACTGTATCTACATTTCCGCGTTTTTAATACGGGCTCATCTGACTAGTTGATTAAGGTCATTATGTCCATTTACTTGGGTCCTTCGTCTGGATCGCTGTTTTTTAAAGTTACCCTATCTAATTGTTGGTCTGTTCATCTGATGAAGCTTTCGCGCCTTTAGAGCTGAATTTTGCTGTCATGATCTGGCAGGAGATCAGTTTCCACTGAATAAGAAATTCAGTTGCCGTTGGTGACATCACGACAGACACACACAGTGTGTTCGTTGGTGACCAGAGAAAATTACTGACTATCTACTTGTATTCCACTTGCTCTCAGATTCCTGGCAATTTTGTACCATGTCTTCTTATCTCTTTTGCAATCTGAACAGCCTTTACAGATTCGAATTTCGTAAATACACTCAAAATCCCTATGCTTAATTTTGCTTGAAGAGGAAGAAGGCGCTCAGCTAACTGGATGCTCTCTCCAGCCCGTGGCATTCTTTCTGTCCGCTTCCAGTGAAGAATAACTTTACTGTCTTCAGTGCTTTGAAGTTTCTGTAGCTATTGGATGGATCTTCGCACGCCCAGCCTTCCCTTTTTGAAAGGCTTATGACCAGCTAGTAGTTAGGAGGTTACATTGTGATCTAGGCACACAAAACTGCCGAAAGCTTAGATCCCACTACCATTTCCCGTGTAAAAATAGTCACCCCTTTTTAGCTGAAATGAGTACGCTTCCCACTGAATGGACATATCTCAAGAACTGGTTTTTTACCACTCGTTGTCCCACCAACAGGTCCCCCCTCAAGCATAGTTTAAGCTGTCTGAGGCACTAAAATTGAGGCAATTTAAAAGAAATATCACCATCAGGTCATTTCACACGGGAATGGAAATCACCTAACCAGTCTTACAATCAGCACCACAAAACAATCGTCACGCACCCAAATAACTGGAAATAAGTGCTTGTAGCAGTGCTAGTTCAAATGACGACGTCTCCTTAGATTGTCTGACTAACCGAATTCAATTACAACACTGTATCTAACTTCGTGTCAATCACTTCAGTTTAACGTAGGGAGATGAGAAACAATCTCTTTCATCTTGCTTACTTACACAAAGCATGACATTTAGCTTGACAAATAAGGTCTTAATGAGGTCTGTAAGCTGGCAGTCACATTAATGTCGTTGACAGAGTAATAAGTTTCACATGGGTTCTCCTCTCGAGAACAATGGCACCACTACAATGAGTTTTATTACTGTCTATTTCATGCTTGAATATATTTCTGACGAAAAATCTGTTATTACGAAGAAAAACACTGTTATGATAGTTAGGTGAGTGATTCAAAATAGGAAAACAATACGACTCCTCATTGGATGCATACACACACACACACACACTTCTGTCAATTAGGAAAGGAACCCGTTAAAACCAAGAACACTAGTGCATTAGTCAATATCAAAGTAGAAATCTTATTGAAAACAAATCAGTAACAAATAAATCAGTCAACCTAAAGAAGAACTATTCTTAAAAATAATACCAATAAATCGTTTTAGAATGAATATCAGCAAAAAGCAGAGACAGAAACACAGAAATACTGAAAAATGCGCATGCACTCATACTCAGTACATTAACAATTTGCAATGATGCAAGAGAAAAGAAACACAATAAGAAAGTAAAATAAACACAGCCATAAACGGATCTTTTGAAGAGAAAAGCCCTTAGAATCTGGGAACATCAATGACTACTATCTGACAGTGAGTATTTAGTTATCAGTTAGTGAGAAAGAGCTGCGAAGTGAGAGATTTGGGCAAAGTTTATTAAACTGAATGTGGCTACAAACGTTGACGTACACAGTACAAAACCAAGGAAAAAGACTGTAGAATTTAGCAAAATATGGAAATAAAAAAGAAAGTACCATGTTGAAAATATATTATACAAAGAGAAAAACACTCAGCAAATGTAAATTATAATTATGCAAATAAAATTAGGTTTCAGTAGAAATGTGCAGAAAGATGAAGGGTGATTTATATCTGTTTTGTTCGCTTTAAATAACAGCGCCGCGCTGAACGTCTAGAGTGTTCCCCACGAGGTACTAGAGACTCCTTGCGTTGTCCACTTCTGTGATGAAAACGATTGACAGAGTCGAAGTAGCATGATTCTGTACACGAATTACGTTTACAACAATTGTCTTCAACAGGTGGCTGTAAAAACATTGAATAACTAAATTTTCAATTGACAAATAGATTTGTAATAAATGTATATTTTATACAAAAATACTTCACCATCATAAAGGTAGTGATACAGATTTTTAAACAAACTAAATATTAGTCACATTTTTCACTTCAGGTGTAATGACAATGTCCATCTGACTGGCGGAGTGATTTTGCCAGTAGGTGAAAGTTGAACTTTTAAACAATTGAACCCTCACTGAACAACTGTATCATAAAAACCAAGGAAGTTTAGAAAAAACAAAAAATTGAGTAAAGGATATCCTTTTCGATAATTTCCTCTTCTGGATTTACAATTCTTATATTTGTTTACATACGTAGAATATTCTCGAACAGTCGTCATTAACAATATTGGTGTTTTTAAATACTATTGACTTGTTAAGTAAGATCAGTGGAATTACAGTTCACTAAAGATGCATAAATTATAATAAGCATAAAAGTATAGTAGCAAATAGAATATCAAATAAAATTAAGGATATTTCCACAACATGTTGACGATCATTAGAACCTTGATAGCCAAGGTGAGGTAGTAAAAGATAAACTGCCTAATATCGCCTCTTCTATGTGTATCTACCAATTTGACTGCTCCTGTGCAGCCAGTTACGCAGGCCGTACAATTAGGCGTGTTACTCGTCGGATCTCTGAACATCACTCTGAGTGGTAAAGTAAAGGACAAACAAAATCTATTCATAGCGCTATTCTATTTCATCTTGTGGATATAGAACACAAAATTGATGCTAACGAGTCCATCAAAATCACTTACCGCATACCAACTAATCTTAACTTTACCTTAAGAGTTCGTATACTACATATCGGTGAGGCCGTTGGGATCCACATTAAGAAACCTTACTTATGTATCCAAAAGAATATGTTTTAGACACCATCCTTACCTTGGTCATCAAGGTTCTAATGATCGTCAACATGTTGTGGAAATATCCTTAATTTTATTTGATATTCTATTTGCTACTATACTTTTATGCTTATTATAATTTATGCACTCCAACGAAAACTGAAGTCATGAATGCAATCAAGCTTCTGAAAGCTGGAAAAGCAGCTGGACCAGATGGAATACCCCCGGAAGCACTGAAAGCGGACCCAGAAACGACGGCAGATATGCTGACTCCATTATTGCAAAAGATCTGGAAAGAGGGAAAGGTGCCTACTGACTGGAGGAAAGGTTACCTGGGGAAACTACCAAAGAAGGGCGACCTGGGACTCTGCAAGAACTGGCGAGGAACCATGCTCCTGTCGACGCCAAGTAAAATCCTGAGTCGCATCATCCTGGAGAGAATCAAGGACGCACTGGATACAGAACTCCGACCAGAACAAGCTGGATTCAGGAAAGGCAAATCATGTTCTGACCAAATTGCAACTCTACGCATTATCATCGAACAAAGCATGGAATGGCAATCAAATCTCTACCTCAACTTCATAGACTTTGAGAAGGCCTTCGACAGCGTTGACCGCGAAGTAATTTGGAAACTACTCGAGTACTACGGCGTACCGCAAATATTCATCAACCTTATTCAACAACTGTACGACAACGGCACATGTCAAGTGATCCACAACGGAAAGCTCAGCGAAGCGTTTGGAGTAAACACAGGAGTCAGACAAGGGTGCTTATTATCACCAATGATATTCCTAATTGTGGTGGACTGGATTACGCGTCAGACAGTGGGAAACGAGAAGACAGGGATATCCTGGACCGACGTGAAGAACCTAGAAGACCTGGATTTCGCGGATGATTTATGTTTGATGTCACACAAAATCGAAGACTTACAAGCAAAAACCGACAAACTGGTCGAAGAAGCAGCAAAGACAGGACTCCAGGTCAACATAGACAAGACGGAGGTTATGAAAATAACCAACCAACAACAACAGCAGCAACATCCAGTGCCAATCACCATCAACGGGAGGGATTTGAAAGAGGTTACTTCTTTCATTTATCTGGGGAGCATTGTCTCAACCACAGGAGGAACGGACGAGGATGTCAAATCGAGAATCGGGAAGGCGAGAAACACATTCATCAACCTGAAACCAATCTGGAAATCTTCGTCACTCACCATCAACAACAAAATTCGGATTTTCAATACAAACGTGAAGTCAATTTTGCTTTACGGATCAGAAACTTGGCGGGTCACCAAGAATATTTTCAACAGGTTGCAGACCTTTATCAACAACTGTCTTCGTTCTATACTGAAGATTAGATGGCCGGAAAGAATCACAAACAAGAAGCTATGGGAACAAACGAAACAGGAACCAATCGCCCAACAAATATGCAGGAGGAAGTGGAGATGGATTGGACACTCGCTGAGGAGGCCGTTGAGTGACATCGCGCGTCAAGCCCTCGAGTGGAACCCGAAAGGGAAGCGGCGAGTGGGACGTCCAAGGGTGACATGGAGGTGATCGTGTGAGGAGGAGATGAAACAGTATGGAATAACATGGACGCAAGTGAAAAGAACAGCACAAGACAGAAGCAAGTGGAGACGTGCAGTTGAAGCCCTATGTTCCACTAGGAACCCAAGGGAACAATAATAATAATAATAATTTATGCATCTTTAGTGAACTGTAATTCCACTGATCTTACTTAACAAGTCAATAGTATTTAAAAACACCAATATTGTTAATGACGACTGTTCGAGAATATTCTACGTATGTAAACAAATATAAGAATTGTAAATCCAGAAGAGGAAATTATCGAAAAGGATATCCTTTACTCAATTTTTTGTTTTTTCTAGATGTCTGCAAAAATATTTTAGCCATATTGAAATCTTCTGAACAAGAAAGTCATTATTATTTTACTGGTCAAATATTCAGGCACTTTCGTGAGATGCTCACTTAATCATGTTTCATATTCCACAAATGAAGAAGTAATTATGGTAAGTTCTATATCATATGTAAACTGATAATCACTGAAGTCTACTTTATTGATGTACCTAAGCTCTCGGAGCAGGACGCTTCAACTGCAAAACTTTCTTTGTGCTTCTAAACGACATCTTCAGTTATGAATTTAATATAAAATAAATTCTCCATGAATTTAATAACTATCTTCCATTATAACCTTGAACGTAATTGATTGTTCCCAGGGGTTTCCTCAGCCTACTCTTCACCTCTACTGGTACTGATTACTTCAACTTTTAGTCCATGTGACTTCGGATTCAATGTTCGGTAAATCTGTCCTGTGTCAATAGAAAATTCATCTGAGCACCAGGTTTCTACGAATTCCCTAACATTCTTGGTATTTCGTTTGTCTAAGATTTGTACATTTTTCCAGTCGAATTGGTGTCTGTAGTTATCTGCATGAATTGATTTGGAATAAAGGATATCATATCTTTAGACAGCCACTTAATGATCATGGAACGAAGATGAAGATAACGTCCACTTTGACAAACGTTATAGTCTAATCCACAATTATTAAAATTTGTCTAGTAGATGATGTTGGTTTCGTCTTCTTTTACCGTTGCGTTTTTTGGCCAACGTAGTGTAGTGTAGATTGAAGTAATTTTCTTGTTTTGCAGTAAATCCACAAATGTTCTTCATATATGACAGGATGATTTTGTTTTTATGTTAAAGCTCATCTATCAAGGCTACGGGAATTTCTAAAAGCTTACTAGAAAAGTGAATGTAAGCATCCAAACTAACAAAACTACTTTTGATCCAGTAAAATACTAACACTTTAATAAACAAACATTTCACTGTCAACAAATAATCTTTTAGTATGCAGAATTATAAAAATACCAACAACTAGATTAATTCCATTAAGTGAAATGATACTTTGTAACCGAGTTGTTGCTTCATGAAAAAGTGTTTCTCAGTTTTTAATCAATAAATCAATCCTTCCTCCCTACCACAAATTGTTTCAAGTGATTAATGTAAAATACATGAAAACAAATTTTTTTTCAACAATGTTTGATACAACTATTTCAAGTATATTGCCATTTGATGGACATACTTCATTTTTTTATAGTAATGTTATGAAATTACCTAATCTCCCCACGAATAAGCCATATTCATTTACTAACCATTATCGGCGCTTGATAATTTTCTAACAGATTTTCTCATACCGAAACCGGTAACTTATTAGGGGAGTTAAATATATATAATAATATATAATATCGGAACGTGTATACGAAAGGGCATCGGTGGTTCAGTGGTAAGAACGCTCGCCAGGCACGCACGTGGTCCGGGGTTCGATCCCCAGCCGACATACTCCTACAGCTCATTAGGCTGGTAAAAAGGGGAAGCTGGGTGTGAAACTAGCAACCTCGCCTCATAAATTACATCATCACTGCTACTGAAACTTCGAAGCTCTAGATTCAAACCCTATGTCCCACTCGGAAAGGAAAAATGTGTATATCAAAGGAGTGAGAGAGACGAGCATATAAATAATAGCAATAGCAATACAGAAATGTGTTACGGAAATTAATTATGCAGAAACATAAGCGTCTATCAATACGCTGAAATCTGACCAACGTATATGTAATCAATATTTGTACAATTTAAATTCTGACTGATAGTAGTCTTTCAAGCTAGTCTGAAACCACACGTAAGATTTTTTATTTATTCATGTGAAGAGTGGGAAATAGGACTCCAAACTTTTGAAGTTTCAGTAGCAGTATTGTCTTTTTTACGGGATGATTGTGCTGACCTCATGTTCAAACTTCCTAAATTACTACTGGTTGGTAAACTAAGTTAAGGAGTACCTCAGCCGGGAATTGAACCCTGACTATGTACATGGTTGGCGAGCATTCTACTACTTAACCAGTGACACATACACTTGACACAAAATCATTTGCTATCAATATTTTTTGTACTGAAATCACGAGGATACAAAGTTTACAACCTAAATAAATGAGATATTGATTTTAAAGCAACGAACACACATACTGAATATTCAGCTTGTTTTACATCACTCAAAGTATGAAAAGATGCATTTACTACGGGCTCCTTATACGCCCATGAAGAACAAGTTG